TTTATGGCTACCAAACTGACGATCGTGAGAGCTTGGAAAACCCCCGATCTTAGCTTTGATACATTAAGAATCAGATGACTTTTATAATGGTTAATGAGAAGCTAATGGCTATGCTGTTATAGACCCACACTAGGTTTCTGCAGATCTGGCGCCCCTGGATTGATGTGGCTCAACCGTCTAGATTTGACCAGACCCTCCTGTCAATATAAGACTCTCCTGGCGTGATCCCCTGGAGCCCTTTCTTTGTCTTTACTATTCTTGTTTCTCCTTTCTCCGCTTTTCTCTTTTCTTTCCCTTCCTTTCGTTTTTGATAGTTTTTATGTTACATGCTCTGATTGTGATACCCCTAGAGAATTGTGCCTGTAATGTTTTATACACCTGTCGGACTTTGTCGAGAGTCCTTGGTGTAGAGTTCTGATGTGTGTCCAGTGAGACTCCATGCTCAGCTTTTCCAATCATCTGTATGCGACTTTGGTGACTATCCTAGGCCTTTGCCCAATAGCTCATTGCTCACTACTAGGGTTTCATTCCATCCTTTTATAGATTGTATTATTTGTACTCCGTTTCTCTCTGTGTTAATACTTCAGTGCATTTGTTATGTCCTTCATCAACAGAATTGAACACCTTATTTTTTTTGTGTCAATGAGCTTGTCACTGATGGTTTCGTTGTTGTGTTGTATATAATACAATTCATTGTAAAAGAAAAAAATGCCAGTTTACTGGCAGAAAAAAAAGAAGACGACTCATATGGAGCGTTTTTGTACTCAAGTTTAGGTGTGTTTTGCATTTTTTCTGCCAGAAAACTCCAAATAAAAAACACAAAACCACAAGGTTTTTTTTTTCCTAGCTCTGAAAGCGAAGCTTAAAGTGTTACTAAACCCACAACAGTAAAATCAGTCTGTATGTGCTGTAAAGCATGCTTGTTATACTCACTGTGGAACCTAAGGAGTTAATCCTCTGCATTGTGTAAAAAGGCTGTTTGATCCTTTCTTCTCTGTTCCTCCCCTTTTTCAAGCGACCACTACTTATCTCCACACTGAACTGTAGGCATGCACATGCTCAGTTTGATGTATATTGCTAGAGAGGTTTTTTTTTTTCTTGGGAGAGTGCATGTAATCAGCACAGGGCCAATCAACACTGTCCAGACAGAGGTCAGGGGATTTTCATCCTCCTGGAGCAGAAAGAAAACTCCTCCTACAAGCTTTAGCTAGTGCTGGGATGGACACAGATAGAAGCCACAAGACTGCTAATGAGAAAAGGTATTTAGCAGTTTATATTTACTAAAATAATTGCACTTCCATGTTCTGTGTATGGTGGGAGACCAGATATAGTGAGTGCAGGGTCCTGGGTTTAGTAACACTTTAAAATATGCCTTGAAGGCAGTGTTTCTGAACCTTTTTTTCAGTCAAGGCACCCTTTAAAATCATGGACAAATTTTGAGGCACCCTTTAACATTCTGCACAATCTCAAGGCACCCCATTCTAAAATGTAAAAAAATGATTCTAATAGTTTTACATAATGCAGCAACATCCACACGCTTAGGACAACCAACGTTCGAGGCCATTTATTCTTCCAAAGCAAGTATTCCTTTGCAAACTAGTAATTGGTTGGCTGTTTTTCAGGGTTTTGGCACTTTTTTTTTTTAAAAATCGGTAAACTTGGAAAAAAAAATCGGACCGATTTACCCGGCAATGATGGGCAAATCGGCCGCTCGTTTTACCAAAAAAAAATCTGCGCATGAGCAGTGACCTGCAAGGAGGAAGAAAGCAGAAAAAGAAAGCAGAAAAAGAAAGAAGAATTCCAGTCTGCTATTATATTTGACATGAAAAAGTATTGCAGTTGCAACAATGTATATATTTGTATCCGAATAAAAACATCTATATCCAAAATGGATACATTGTTGCAACTGCAATACTTTTTCATGTCAAATATAATAGCGGAGCTCTCTGCAGGGACAGAAGTAATTAAATGCCGGCCGTAGACGGGACGAAAATCGGCCGATTTTTTTTTTACTGTTGGTAATAACGTCGGCCTATCGAATGACCGATTTTTTATTTTTTTTTTTTTAAATGCCCGGTTTTCGACCCATCTAAGGCCTGCATTTGTTTCTCTCCCTCACTCAGCTAATGTGACCCCACTGCTGATAAAACAGGGCAGGAGAGGGGCAAACAAGAATGCTGTGAAGGCACCAGACGTCCTCCTTATCAACGAATGATGTAATTGGTTGTTAGGATGCCGGCAGCTGGCAGGTTGTAAAAGTGCGCAATGAAAACCTGTGGCTTTGTGTAACTAAAAGGCAGGCTTGATCCACCTGCTGGCTTGTATACAATTTTAGGGCACTTTTTAAGCATTTTGCCAAGGCGTCCCTGAAAAAGCCTGAAGGCACCCTGGTTGAGAAAGGCTGCTCTAAGGCTCCATGCACACTAGCATTTAAGCCAAAACAAAAAACTGGTAACAGTGTTTTTTTTCTGCTGGCATAGCACTCCCAGAAGCGAAAAAAGGAGTTTTTTTTCTGCTCCTAGAAGCTGAAGCTTAAAAAATGCTTCTAGCCTACAACAGTGTTCATGGACACATAGAATACCACCATTTGCTTCTATGGGCAGAAAAAAAAAAATGCTCATAACTAGCTGCTAGGCGCTTAAAAATAAGCTAGTGTGCATGGAGCCAAAATGCTCATAACATTTTTTTTCCCCCATACATGCACTGTAAAAACGCTGATAAAATGCTAATGCTCCTGAATGCTCCTAAAACGCTACTACAAGCTGGCACAAAAATGCTATTATCAGCATTTTTCATCCAGATTTTTTTTTTCTATGTTTTTTGAGCTGATAAAAAAATGCTAGTGTGCATGGAGCCTAAACGTCCTAACGTGCATAGACACAGGATAACATTGAGCTGCTTCTACAGGCAAAACATAAAATCCTGTAGACATTTTTAAGCCAGTGTGCATGGACACTTAAACTTTATTGTGCATGGTAACCTTTCTATTGGAAATCACAAGTTCAAGCTGGGCATGTCAAGCTAAGATTACCATCATATCTTCTATTTAATATACAAACCAAACACAAGCAAACATTATATAATTATACACAAATACACACACAATAACAAAACACGCACTCCATGGTTGGAAAGAGAAATATAATTGAACGCATACTGGGCACAGGTATCACTATCATCAAAACTGCACACCTACATTATCCATATTTGATTTTATTTTCTCCTATTTTTGAAACTGAAAAGATGATGTATATGCTTGGAGGATTTTCTTTTAGGGCCAGTTCACACTACATGCATTTCAGTTGCTTTTTTTCTGCATCCAAAAATGCACAGAAAGTAGGTTGTATGGTTGTCAATGTCATAGTTCAGATCAGTGCTTGCAGTTCCGGTTGCAGAAAAAATAAAGTAGAACTTGCTGCACTTTTTCTGCACAGAATTTTACTGGAACGTGGTAAAACGCATCAAAAACGCACCGGAATGCACTGAAACGATGATGTATATGTTTGGAGTATTTTCTTTTAGGGCCAGTTCACACTACATGCATTTCAGTTGCTTTTTTTTTTACATCCAAAATGCACAGAAAATAGGTTGTATGGTTCACATCAGTGCTTGCGGTTCTAGTGCTTTCCAGTTGCAGAAAAAATAAAGTAGAACTTGCTGCAATTTTTCTGCACAGAACTGTACTGGAACGTGGTAAAACGCATCAAAAACGCACTGAAACTGAAAAGATGATGTATATGTTTGGAGGATTTTCTTTTAGGGCCAGTTCACACTACATGCATTTCAGTTGCTTTTTTTTTTTCTATATCCAAAATGCACAGAAAGTAGGTTGTATGGTTGTCAATGTCATAGTTCACATCAGTGCTTGCAGTTCTAGTGCGTTCCGGCAGCAGAAAAAATAAAGTAGAACTTGCTGCAATTTTTCTGCACAGAACTGTACTGGAACGTGGTAAAACGCATCAAAAAAACACAACCAGAATGCACTGGAACACACGTCCCTATTTAAATTGAAGAAAAAGAGAGGGCGGAACCGGAATGCTTAAAAAACGCACAGGAACGTGCCAAAAACACGAATGCGGAAAGGCATCCGGGCTGCGTTTCTATACTGTGAAACGACCCTCAAGAAAACAAAATTTTTCAAACTGATCTTTTTCGTAGAAGGACCATAATAGTGAATATAGTGTGTTCTTTCTTCATATACAAGCTGCTGTGCAGTTTTTTTTTATATATATATATATATATATATATATATATATATATATATATCTCAAAACAAAAATCAGTACTAAGCAGTGAAATTTCAGGGAAATTTGTAAAGGAATTAACACACACACGTTATTTGAAAGCTACACCACCATAGGAATACAAAACACAAAAAGTGACAATTTCTGACAACAGCCTACAATGCAATGTTTACACACTAAGCCAACATAAAAGATACAAGCTATTAGATACAAACATATTAATGTTGCAAAAAATGACAATAACATATCATCAAGTGCCACCTACAATGCTGATGATCTACATTTTGCATGAGCTGAGTGGGTCATTACAAACCAAAACAAAGCAGCAAAGAAACCAAAACAGCAGGCACAGACCATGCACTGTCCCCGGTAACACTACCCCGGCTTGATTTGCATCTTCCAGCTTGGCACTTGGTGGAAGTATGCATGCAAAACACAGATTTAAAAAAACAACCCAACACTGAAAATGGAGGTGGAGATAGTGACCCACATCTGGCAGCAATCAAGGTGTGAGACCATGAAAGAAAAACGACAGTTTGTGGAATACAATGACAGAGAAACGTCAGGAGCAGAAAGTTTTACTGACAGACAGCCCGGATCTGTGGTCTCCTAGCAACAGACAACACTTTCCACACGTGACTCTCAGGGTACAACACAGACCGAGCATGCACACACACATCCTTCAGTGGGATAGTAAGGAGCAGAGCAGATCGGTACCGATCACCCCTCTCACCCCCTTCCTCCCTCATCACCCACCTTTGGTGTCCAGCTCCACGTGGATGATGTTGCCCATCACAGAGGTGTTGTGCAAATGTTTCACCGCATCCCTGGCTCCTTTGACGGTGGCAAAGATGACTTTGGCAATGCCCAGGTGTTTCTTGTTCTTGGGGTTGTACAGGATCTCCACCTCCTCCACCTCGCCGTATTTTTTGCACATGTCGCCCAGAAAGTTTTCCCGGATGTTGTCGTTGAGTTTAGCAAAAGTGACTTGCTTTGGGGGGTACCGGCCCGACATAGAACTCATCGATCTGAGAAAAGAAGAAGAGAGGGGGGATGAGCGATCCGACACTCGGGATCTCCTCCGCAGGCACGGAAGCGGTCAGATACAGAAGTGGCCGGCCGGGGAAGCCGGTTACTTTGTGGTAGAGGGGGGGGGGGGGGTACACCTCGTGTCATCACTAGTCACTGACGGCCGGGCTGCGATCGGAGACAGTTACGGTTTGATGAACAGGACAAGAGGCGGTCGGGGCTGTGCGGAGGAGGCTCGCTGTCAGCGCAGGGACTCGGACACTCAGAAAATACCTTGAGTTTGGGCACAGGGAGCTCCAGCTCTTTGTTTTTGGTCCATATCCTGCCGATCCGGGGATCTCGGACTATGTCCACAGGGGGGATGCCCGAGTTCTGCGAAATAAACACACAAGCCTGGCATTATTCAGTACACATGTCAGAGGGCACACATGGAGATCTATGGATGGAGAGGAGGGGGCTCCCTGCACTACACAGGGAGGGGGGGGCACCGATCATCACAGGGGAGCTCCATCCAGGACAGCACTACACAGGGTGGGGGCACTGATCATGACAGGGGGAGAAGGGGGCTCCATCCAGGACAGCACTTCACAAGGAGAAACTGATCATGACAGGGGGAGAAGGGGGCTCCATCCAGGACAGCACTTCACAGGGAGAAACTGATCATGACAGGGGGAGAAGGGGGGCTCCATCCAGGACAGCACTACACAGGGTGGGGGCACTGATCATGACAGGGGGAGAAGGGGACTCCATCCAGGACAGCACTTCACAGGGAGAAACTGATCGTGACAGAGGAGAAGGGGGTCTCCATCCAGGACAGCACTACACAGGGGGGCACTGATCATGACAGGGGAGAAGGGGGCCTCCATCCAGGTCAGCAATATAGACCTGTCAGGTGCAGGGATCCTGACAGAGAGAAGAGGAAGGAGGGGGTCTCTATCCAGGACAGCACTATGCCCTGGAGGGGGTGCAGGGATCTTGACAGGGAGAGGTGGAAGTGGGTGGGTCTCCATCCAGATCAGCAATATACACCAGAATAGGTAAGGGGGTATGGATGTTGACAGCTATTAGGGTGGAGATCACATACAGGTACAGTTGTCAGGATGCACACATGGACCTAAAGATTGGGAGGGGGTGTGATCTCCATTCAGATCAGCACTACACACCTGCAGGGGACATGGGACTTGACAGCTATTAGGTGGGGAGGGGGCATACAGGTACAGTTGTCAGGATGCACACATGGACCTACAGATTGGGAGGGGGGGTGATCTCCATTCAGATCACCTGCAGGGGGGACATGGATAGTGACAGGTATGAGGAAGAGGCTGAGATGCAGACACACTTGTGGGAATGCACAGGCAGGGCCCATAGATGGAGGTGGTCTCCATCCAGATCAGCACTATACACCAGGAGGGAGGGATGGATGGATAGTGGGAGGTAGGGATGACATACAGGCACACTGAAGTGCAGTCCATCGTAGCGGTAGAGTTTGTGTTGGCCCTTCTTCAGTGCAGGGTCAATAATCAACTTGTAACTCCTCCAATGGTGACTTCTCTTCTCGCCAGAAGTGCCGGCTTGGTTGCCCGCCGCCTCCATGCCGTTGATCCAGCCTGCAAGCCATAAAGAATGAGAAGTGAATGTTGTGGATGGGGGGGGGGGGGCACACATACACTGAGCCCCTAGGCTGCTGCCTGCCCTGATGCTTCCAATAGGAGAGGGCACACACATACATGCACACACACACACATACATACATGCACACACACATACATGCACACACAGACAGACACGGCCCGGGCTCACTTGTGCTCTGCTTTCTTCCATGGTCTTCTGGGTTCTTGCTTCTCTCCCCGGGCTTGGCCTCCTTGAAAGACATGCCTGCCCGCCTTTCCCACACCACCCCCCCAACCCCGCTCCCCTGCGCCCGGGCTCGTCTTCTTGCCCCCGCAGGAAAGGCTGAGCCTCTTCACCGAAGCCTGCCCGGGTTACATGACATGCTGTGGAGGGCACCCTGCCTGCTCCTTTTTGGCGAGCCAACACATATGTGTGTGTGAGCAGCTTCTGCTCGCTCTGGGGCAGCCCACAATGCACCGCGGCCTCCCCTGTCCTCCGCCTCCCTCCTCTGTCCCCAGCCAGTCAGTAGTCCCAGCGAGCAGCCTGCCTCTTCCCTGCCGCACTTTCGCCTCGATACATTCCGCCTGTTAGACGCAGAAAAATAACCGGCCTGAGGAACAGAGCGGCCTTCGGCTATCGTCTCCTTACCTACACCCAATTCTTGGGGGTTTTAATGTTAGCCGGTATAGATATGCATTGCTGTGACAATGGCCGTCCGGTCATAACGGGTTTATCGCTCACATTCCCGACCCTCCCGTCATTTCTAGGTTGTTCAGGCGACGTCGGTGCTTATTCTTGTTCTATGTGTGTTTAATATTGAGAAGTGGTGCAGGGAATCCCCCCTTGTTGTGGAAGGAAAACGGTGTGTGGAATCTGCCTGATAGATTTACATGGCGGCTCTAAACAGTCGCCAGACAAGATGGAAGTGCGGGCTGGGAGGGAGAGACTCGGGGGGCAGCCGCCATCCGTGTTCATATCATATGTGATGGAGACAGGGGGGTCCTGAGGGGACAAACCCGGCCAGAACACCCGAGGCCTGCCAGCATGATCAGCCGGGTCCCTGTGTGTGGAATCTGCCAATCACAGCCTGCCTTCCATTTTGTGTTACACCGGGGGAGGGGGGTAAACATTCCCACACTGGCCGCTTACCTGACATCACGTGACCTGGGAGGTGACAGCCGGGACAGCAGAGCGGGCTCACTACAACTACATACGGAGCCGGGATCTTCCTGGAGGCCTGCTGGGACTTGTAGTCCTAATGGAGGAGCCCCTGTATTCACAGACTGATGCTGGGACTTGTAGTCCTAATGGAGGAACCCCTCTATTCACAGACTGATGCTGGGGACTTGTAGTCCTAATGGAGGAACCCCTCTATTCACAGACTGATGCTGGGACTTGCGGTCCTAACGGAGGAGCCCCTCTATTCACAGACTGATGCTGGGACTTGTAGTCATAATGGAGGAACCCCTCTATTCACAGACTGATGCTGGGACTTGTAGTCCTAATGGAGGAGCCCCTGTATTCACAGACTGATGCTGGGACTTGTAGTCCTAATGGAGGAGCCCCTGTATTCACAGACTGATGCTGGGACTTGTAGTCCTAATGGAGGAGCCCCTCTATTCATAGACTGATGCTGGGACTTGTAGTCCTAATGGAGGAACCCCTCTATTCAGACTGATGCTGGGACTTGTAGTCCTAATGGAGGAACCCCTCTATTCACAGACTGATGCTGGGACTTGTAGTCCTAACGGAGGAGCCCCTTTATTCAGACTGATCCTGGGACTTGTAGTCCTAACGGAGGAACCCCTCTATTCACAGACTGATGCTGGGACTTGTAGTCCTAACGGAGGAGCCCCTCTATTCACAGACTGATGCTGGGACTTGTAGTCCTAACGGAGGAGCCCCTGTAGTCACAGACTGATGCTGGGACTTGTAATCCTAATGAAGGAACCCCTCTATTCACAGACTGGTGCTGGGACTTGTAGTCCTAATGAAGGAACCCCTCTATTCAGACTGATGCTGGGACTTTTAGTCCTAATGGAGGAGCCCCTGTAGTCCCAGACTGATGCTGGGACTTGTAGTCCTAACGGAGGAGCCCCTGTAGTCAGACTGATGCTGGGACTTGTAGTCCTAACGGAGGAGCCCCTGTATTCACAGACTGATGCTGGGACTTGTAGTCCTAACGGAGGAGCCCCTGTATTCACAGACTGATGCTGGGACTTGTAGTCCTAACGGAGGAGCCCCTATACCCCTTCCTAGGTTGCCTCATCCTGGTACTTGTAGTCCTGGGGGAAAAGTCCCTATACCCCTTCCTAGGTTGCCCCATGCTGGTACTTGTAGTCCTCGGGGAAAAGTCCCTATACCCCTTCCTAGGTTATCTCATGCTGGTACTTGTAGTCCTAGGAGAAAAGTCCCTATACTCCTTCCTAGGTTGCTCTTGCTGCTTCTTGTAGTCGTAAGGGAAAAGTCCCTATACTTCTTCCTAGGTTGCCTAATGGTGGTACTTGTAGTCCTAGGGGAGAAGTCCCTATACCCCTTCCTAGGTTGCCTCATGTTGGTACTTGTAGTCCTAAGGGATATGTCCCTATACCCCTTCCTAGGTTGCCTCATGTGGTACTTGTAGTCCTGTGAGAAAAGTCCCTATACCCCTTCCTAGGTTGCCTCATGCTGGTACTTGTAGTCCTCGGGGAAAAGTCCCTATACCCCTTCCTAGGTTGCCTCATGTTGGTACTTGTAGTCCTAGGGGAAAAGTCCCTATACCCCTTCCTAGGTTGCCTCATGTTGGTACTTGTAATCCTAGGGAGAAGTCCCTATATCCCTCCCTAGGTTGCCTCATGCTGGTACTTTTAGTCCTAGGGAGAAGTCCCTATACCCCTTCCTAGGTTGCCTCATGCTGGTATTTGTAGCCTTAGGGTAGAAGTCCCTATACTCGTTCCTAGTTGCCTCTTGCTGCTTCTTGTAGTCCTAAGGGAGAAGTCCCTATACCTCTTCCTAGGTTGCCTAATAATGGTACTTGTAGTCCTAGGGGAGAAGTCCCTGTACTTCTTCCTAGGTTGCCTAATGGTGGTACTTGTAGTCCTAGGGGAAAAGTCCCTATACCATTTCCTAGGTTGCCCCATGCTGGTACTTGTAGTCCTGGGTGATAAGTCCCTATACTCATGCCTAGGTTGCCTCATGCTGCTTCTTGTATCCTAGGGGAGAAGTCCCTTTACACTTCTTAGGTTGCCCCATGTTGGTACTTGTAGTCCT